AAATTGCTAATGGTACTTTTCAGGAATTCAAATTACTAAAGATTAATAAATTTACAGCTAATAAAATCTTAGAAAAAATTAAGGCCCTAACATTTTCGGTTCTTGTACCTCCTTCTATGAAATATGAGCGGCAAGATTATCTTTATAAAAATATTCGTCCATTTATTAAAGATGAATATAAAGATATTACATGTCCAAAACCAATAAATATAAAATAAATAAATATAAAATAAATAAATATAATGTCTAACTCTTTATACTTTTTAATTAAAAAAATTAGTCAACAAAAAGGCAAAAAATTAAAAATTATTTGCAATATAAATGACATCATAAGGCCCATGAAGTCATCAGCACTTTATGGAGTTTCTGATAAGACCATTTCTCTTAAAGAATATTCTAAAATTTTTTGAAAAAAAGGGATTACGAAACTTCTAATAGTGTGCGAGAAAATGATGAGGAAAGTAAACTAATTGAAAAACATCTTAAAACTTTTGAAAATTACCAAAAAGAACGTGCTGATTTAAGAAAAAAAATTAATGATTCTAATATATATAAAGAAAAGACCACAGAGCTTGAAAAAAAATTCATGGGAAATTGAAACTATCTTTCTGATCGACCTCTTACAACTATTGCAGAAGATCTATTAAAATGTTTAAAGGAAGGTAGTTTGATTGAAGAGTTGGTTTTTGGACTTGCTTCTTGAACCAAGCAAGAACAAAACCTTCCATCTGTGCTTAATAAAACCAGAATAGATGAATTTAACGATACTTTTAGAAATTTTCCTGAATGTTTTTTTATTAATGGCAATAATCAGGAAGTTACCAAGTATTGAAAACGGGCAAAAATTGTGTGTCCCGATTTTGATATTTGAATTCTTACCTTAGACCTAGAAAACATAAGCAAGGGAGAGTTTGAAGCTATTTGTGATAATCACCCGAATAAAATATATATCCTCCCTGATTATAATTGTAATATGAATGTTTCCAATGATTCAAAGAGTATCTACTTAGTAAAAAATGAAATCAGTGAGTTAAAAAAGCAAGACTTTGTTATTAAAAAAAATCAAATAAAAGATAAAATAAAAGATATTTCATTCAAAAGAGATTTAAAAACCTATTCTTTAGGATTTGTTACTCCAATTATTTTATTTGTAATTTATTTTATTATTATAAAAAAGCAAAAGCAATAAGTGTATTTACATAAAAATTCAAATATTATATATTTCAATTACATAATAGTAAAATTGATTCTATTTAGCAACAACTTTCTTATCCTCTTTAAATTTTCTATACCTGACAGGATGTATGATTTTTATTTCATTTCCATCCCAAGTATCTCCATCTTTTTCATTATTAACTTTCCATTCAGAGTCAAATGGAGAAATGTGAGAAGTCAAAATGTCCTCAATAATTTCTAAAATATCATCAATTTTATAATGTCTAAGACCAAAAGTAGCCCAATGTAAATTTTTAGATTCTAACTGACCACTACGAGTAGATACAGTATTAGGCTTCTCCTGAAAGTGATAATTATATCCAAGTTGCCAATATAAGTATAAACATGGTTCATCATGATCTTTTAAATCAGATCTCGTAAATACATATTTATAATTTAACTTAGAACTAGCCGATGCAGGATATTCATCATCACCTTTTATGCTTGTAGTATCAATATTTTTGATTTGAATAATAATAATGCTATATTTGCCAGTTGTCAGGCGAACAGGAATGCAGATATCTGCACCAGGATGATTTCGTTTCATAATGAAAGCACATCTTCTCATATAAGTCATTTCTAAATCATCATAATCTAGTACATAATCAACCACATTAAAATGTGTAAATGCTACTGTTCCATTAATAAATTCTTTTGAAAAACCATCTAGATTTTCTGGTACAGATTCATTATGATAAAGTTCTGTAAGAAATTTTTGAACTGTATTTTCTGGTCCATCAGTTCTTAGTTTATGAGCCACAACAGCAAGGATAATTCGACTAACAATTTCTCCTTGAGGTCCGGGATCCACAAGACCCTTTTTGAGTAAAGTACTAAACAACCATAATATTTTTGGTAACATTGAATCTGACATAAATTCAAAAGCAACTTCTGATAGTAAAGGTTCAGAAGGATAAGCAATAATCAACCGTTCCCTATCTTCTGATACAAAAAGACAAGTAGCCATATGTGAAGCAACAAGTTCTGAGGCCAACTGAGATTGTGGTGATATATCAAGTCCTATCACAGAAGATAGAATTGCCAAACTAGAAATTTCCCGCGTGCTACTTTCAAAATTATTTGCTCCACCAAGTAGTCTTTCCCCTAAGAAGATTCTTAAGTTTATCAATGGCTTGAGGATCGTCATTACAACTTTGCAAGTACGAAATATATAAAGGTCGGCCGAACTTAGCCAAATTCCAGGACTCATCTTCATAAACATTATCCTCGAAAACATCCGTTGTAGTTAGTCGAAAATATGGGTAGAATAATTCAAGAGATAAGTCCTCAATATCCCAATGTGACGGATCTAATGATTTGGGAGGTGCGAAATTTGATATCTTGCTTAGCGTATCCAAAAGTAAGGTAAAGAACCCATTCCATTTTACTTTCCTCAATGCTCTGCGAAACAATCTAAATGGTGAAATTTTTTGCATTCTAGATGGTGAAATGAGAGCTCTAGCCTCATCAATACAAAATAAAAAACAAACATCATCACTTGGATTATTTTGAGTTATGAAGTTAGCTCTAATGTTCACTTCACTCTCAAGTATATTTTTCCAATTTTCTGACCTATTTTGAATTTCGTTCCATACACTCTCACAAAATGAAGTATCCATTTGTTTATCCCATAAGACTTGAGTATCACACTCACATTTTACTAATTCTTCATTAAAGCATTGAATAATAGCTTGCAAAACATAAAGAAATCTCCACTCCTCTCCTTCCTTTAAATCATTAAGCACTCGTTGAAATAGATCTGCACCAACACTTGTACGCGGAGGATACCCAGTACTATTTGCATCCCGGAGACAAAGATAAACTGTAGGAATTTGTCTAGCCACTTCCTTAATCAATCGCGATTTGCCATAACCGGAGCTCTGAAATATTGTACTGTATGGAACATAATGATTGGTATTATTATTCCAAGTCTTGTGCTTACGATTTAGATAAGTCAGAAATTTATCTTTCATTCCAAAATTATCTATATAATCTACGTTAAATGCTTTTTCAAGATTTTCTCTATGCATTTCAGATCCAGTATCTATGACATTTGGACTAGATAAAGTAATCTCGAGGATACCAGATTCCTTTGCAGCTTCTAGATGTTGTTGATCCAGATTTTTTTTATCACCACCTAGGAAAATTGTATCGTCATCGATATGTTGTGCAAGTGAATCTCCGCTTTTGATGAACTTAATAATGTCATCAAGTGAACTCATGCGCTGATTACGAAAATGAAGTTCTTTTCCAGGTACTTTCACAATTAAGTTTAAAAGGGGTATGTCAACTTTACACATTTTCGAAATTTAGAAATATTGTTAGTAAAGTACCAGAGCGTACATTACAGTAAATTCAGTTGTATATTATGCTTACCAACTACGACATGCAATGCTTCTTCTTTTGTGTTGTATAATCCATCGATTGGTGTTTCCGGACTCAAGACTTCACTTCCTCCGCGACGAAGAGTGATAGCTTTTTCATATATACCTTCAACAATATTTTTCAATTTACGTTTAATTTCATCTATCAAGTCATCTACTTTAGATAATTCCATTCCATCCAAGCCAGCTCGTTTGAAAGTGATAGTTTGTTTATTATAACGGACATGTATTTCGTCAGAAACTACGTAATGTTTAAATAGAATGTAAATAAAGAATATTAACTTAAACAAGTACGCACGCTAGAAACAAATTACCTCGAATTCCTATTTTCGTCTGATAAAATACTGCTTTCTTTAACGATTCCACTATTTCTTTAGGTACGGACGCTAGCAAAAGATAAGAAAAGTTAACAGTAGGAACAACAAATGATCTCTCTTGTGCAAGTTTCCATTATGAATAGATATATACCTAGAGTTTTTGATGTTGATGTACTAGAGGTTGCAACTGCTGGACTTGATGATGTTTCTGATAAGACAAAAGATGTATTGATGTATTAGGTTACAGCACATAAATAAAAGTAAAGTATGTAAATTAAAGCAATAAATTGAGATATACCTTGAGATAATTGCATTGCAGCTATCTGAGCTTCCAATTCCTTTATCATTTTATTTTCTGATGTGGTCGCTAACAAAATTTAAAACCCAATAAGTGAATAAAGCTATGTATTTGTTGTGTTTCTATTCTGAATGACACAAGAAAATAAGCAATGAATAAAATGGGAACAAGGACATACCTGGAACTGTCACTTTTATTGGATTGCTTTGTTTGATTTTGAATTTACTAACTAATTTATTAAAGTCACCTTCACATTGATTAATAAAAAGGTCGGCATTTAGAGTAGTATATTCACTTTCGTCTACTTTCTTTGCTTCGAGAATAAGAGTACTAGCAATGGCTTGGAGATTTTCTGATTCTTTGATAGCTCTACAAAGTTGAATATACCGTCCACCTGCAGGTTGTTCAACACAGCTTACTTCGCGTTCAACAACTTGATACCAGTTATCTTTCTTTGGCTTTGTTTTATGACTCATTTTGTTTAGTTGAAAAGGTTGTTAATAGAGGATGATTTTGTTTTGATCGCAAATCAGATTTTCTCCTTATTTATATAGATAGCAGATCAAATGATTGTACGACGCGCAGTAAAAATTTGTGTAATTTTTAAATTTATCAGATAATGATCGACAAATACAATTTCGTGTATGTAGAGATAAATTTTAGGAGTTTATTTAGGAGAGCCTTATTGTTTAACAATTAAAAACTAAGTATGAGATTCACAAAAATCACATGTTATTATTATCTAAATAATAATTTTTAATGTTCACTTTGTCTGGTTTTGTTGCAGCACGCCCCATATAATTCTTATTAATAGTAAAATTATTTTTTTAATTATTTTATTTTCTATTTTTATATTAGTTTTTTCTAATTCTGCATATAATATCAAAGTTTATTATTATTTTAAAAAACATTATTAATATATAATATAATTTTATAATTATTAAAAAAATTAAAGAAAACTTAAAAAGTAAAAAATAAAAAAAAGCTAAAAAAAAGTTTTTTAAAATAAAATAATTTTATAAAATAATTTATAGAATATTATAAAATAAAATAATATTATTAATATTATTAATGTATAATCTTTTTAGGTTACAATTGTTAGACACAGTATCAAAGGGTTGATTCTTTTATAATTTATATATATCAATATCTGATTATAATGCTTTTAAAAATTTTGTATTTCAATTACAATTTTTTTTTAAAAAATATTTATTTAAATATTATTTATTAAAAAATATTTATATTATTTATTACATACTAAATATTATTAATATTATCATATAAATTTTTAAGTTGCCAAAAATCTTAATTAATATTATGTAATTTACATATATAATTATAATACAAATTTATAATATAATAATATATTAAACCTTTATTAAAAATCTGTAAATTTAAAAATAAGTAAAACTATATCAAAGCTTATAAAAATGCAAACATAAATTAAAACTTTAATAAAAAATTAGCAAAACTAAAGTTTAAATATTTTGTCAAATCTAAATGAATTTAAACAAATAATTTTAATTTAATATAATAAATAATTAATATATTGTAAATAATTATAGCATTATAGAATAATTATTATATTGTAGAATAATTATTTTATAAAATAATTAATATATAGTAAAATAATTATTATATTATGAATTTTTATTATAATTATATTATAAAATTCTATAATATTACAAATTTTAAAAAATAGTAATAGATTTATTTTAATAAAAATTAAATTTAATTTAAAAAGACAGAAAAATCAGATTTCATTCAAATAATAATAAAAGTAAATAGAATATTTTAATAATTTAAATGTATTTTTTAAGGTAATTTATAATAAAACAATTATTAAACCTTTAAAATAACCATAAATTTAAAAGAATACTTTGATAATAAATAAGATTTATAATGATATTATGTTTGGTTGAATTATAATTATATGCTTTTAGATTTGCATTTGTATTATATTTATTTTATTTTAAAATAATATTCAATAAAACTAAATTAATCATTCTATTATACAAATTAAAATATTATTATTTTTTTAAAAAGATGATTTACTTTTTTTATATTAGTAAATTTAAGAATGATTTAGATATTGAATTTTTACAAAAACTTTATTATAAAGTTAAATAAAAAATAATAAGAATTTAGAAAAATTTTATTGAAGCAAAGATCATTAAAATAATCAAATATATGGATTTAGTTTTAATGATAGGTTAAAAGTTATTAAAATATATGGTTTTAAAACATTTATAAGAGCGAGATAAACTAAGAGATTAAAACAAATTATTTTCTTGTGGAAATTTTAAATGGATAGAAGAATTAATGACTGCTAGATATTTTGGTGTGAGAATTTGATTTACATAAAATTCAATATTTAATATAATGATTTATCAATAATAGAAAAACTATTATATAAAATAAAAATTAATAAAATGTTAACACAAAAAGAAATTTCAAAGATATTCAATAAAAGAATGAAAGGTAGTATTTAATATTTTCTACCTAAAGGTTCAGATTCTGAAAAAAAGCATCGAATTTTCAAAAATAATATCCTAAATATCAGTTTTTAGATAATAATTATTTTGAACATTTTAGAAAATCATAACAAATTGCTGGTTTTTAGTTATTTTTGTAATTAGATTTCAGGTTGATGCAGTAATTTCCACAAGAATTGCTTTAGCGCATTCATGAGAAAACAATCGCAATTAACCATTTATGCCTGATTAGGCGCATCTTTCCTCTTTCCAATGCCATGTACATGTGAACTTCCACGGTGTTGCCATTCGAATCGATACCAATAATCTTCAAGGTTCCATTTGGTATCAACACTTCCTCTAGAAACAGCTTAAACCGTTTTTCAAAGAACCAAGCGGCAATATGAGGATTGTTGATCAGGTCAGATTATCTATTAAAACCGAAAAGATATTATTAATGTTCACCTTGTCTCAATAATTATTTATTCAAAGTTGTATTTCAATTCCATGAAGAGACGAACGAGGACGGATAATCGACAGTTAATTACGGCATGTGTTTCAGTATCGGTCTTAAGATTCCGTCAAAAATCCTTACGGGAAGTTGTGTTATATTGACTTACCAAATTAGGTATTGGTTCAAAGGCCATATGGATTTCCCTCACTTTTATCACATAATATCAAGATTTTCAACAGAATATGGGAACATTTTACTTTAAAATTCGAAAATAGGTTTTGAATTTGGATCTTCTGATACAAAATTTATGTTTCACCCGCTTTCACTGTGCTTTGTGATATCTGAGAAACCATTTTACATTATAAATTTGACAAGATATTCCCATTCAGTTAAATATAATTTCAAGAAATCAATTTCATACCTTATTCTGGATATACATTATTAAAATTTCAAAAAACAAAAAAACTGAAACTGATAATAATGAATCAAAATACGGATTTCCAAGAATGGATGGAAATGTGCGTTAAATTAAACCATATAAATAGTTTTGAATACAATGAATTTACTGAGCATCAGTTGGTCGGTGAAGGGAGATTTGCTTGTGTAAAATCTGCAATGATGAATTGTGACGTAAAAGTTGCTTTGAAATCTTTAAAAGTTGATGTTGTATTAGAAAAAGATATAATTGAAAAATTCGTTAATGAGGTTGGTCATTTTCGTTAAATTTTAGAGATAATTTCTATCTTGAGCCCATCCACATGCCTAATCCACATTATTTTAGCTAAAACTCCTTCGAAAGGTTGATTTTCATCCTAATATTAACCGGTTTTTAGGGGTTACTAAAGGTGCGTTAAATAAATAACAAATAAAGTCGCTCCTAATTAAATAAATAATTGTCATGACTGTTTCTTTTTACTTTAGACAATAGATATGGGCAGTATATAATGATATTACAATTTGCTGATAGCGGTAATTTAAGAGATTATCTCGAAAATTTCTTTACTAAGTTAACTTGGTCAGATAAATTCAGAATGGCAAATGAAATCTCCAGTGGATTAATGTGTTTACATAGCAAACGAATTATTCATCGAGATCTGGTGACAAACAATTTCTAAGTCATACATTTAAATTATCGTATTAAGATTAATTACTAAATTTTTTCCTGTTAATTTTAGCATGACAAAAATATATTAGTGCACCAAGGAAGGTTGGTTATAGCTGATTTTGGTTTATCAAGGGAGTTAAGTAATAATAAATCATCATCAGCTTCGGCTCTTTTTGGAATGACAGAATTTACGGAACCTAAATGTTTTGAAGATCCAAGTTATGAACGTGATAAAAGATCTGATATATATAGTCTTGGAAATCTGCTTTGGGAAATCTCAAGTGGAAGGCCTCCTTTTGCTTCACACTCCCATTATTTACTTCCATCAAAAATATTAAATGGCGAAAGAGAGAACAAGACTGACGGAACACCAGAACATTATGTTGAATTGTATCAAAAATGTTGGGATACCGAACCTATAAATCGACCCAATGCTAAAAAAGTTTTTAAAATATTAAAGATAATTTCTTCACTGAATCCACCAAACAGAATTCCAGAAATATCGTCGGATGATGAAACTTCATCAGATGAAGAAAATGATATATCATTTGATAATTCGGATATTGATTCGTTAACCTCTGGTATGTTATAAACTTCCTGAATATTTGTTATAGATCCGATCTTTTTAATTATATTTTCTTCTTTTTGTTTTAAAAAAAAAAAATAGATGATAGTGATGATAAGGAAAATATGATTAATATACTAAATGATTTGGTTCAATTATATTCAAATAAGTGTAAATTAGGATCAAGTGAATCTGATAGAAATTATGAAAATTGGTTCGATTACAATATGTCTAATTCAAGGAAGTTTTTTATTTTTCTTAAAAAGAACACTGAAATTGTAGAACATCATGAATTTATTCTTGGAAAATTTTATCAAAGAGGTTTCGGTGTAAAACAGAATAATGCAAAATATTTTAAATGGATGGAAAGAGGTACTCGTAAAGATGATAAACTTGCATATTTTGAACTTTCAAAATGTTATTTTTTTGGTAAAGGTGTGAATAAGGACAATGGAAAAGCATATGAACTTTATAATCGTAGCAACAGGGCATGAACTTTTTTAAAAATCATTTAATTACTCATATCAAGCCGCATATAATCAATTTCATCATAAAATACATACACAATAATGTACAATACAACATAAGTTATACGTTCAAGTCGGCCGGTTTTTCTACCTTTAAATAAAAGAAAATAAAGAAAATAAAGTAAAGCAAAATTATTATATTAAAAAAGAAATGTTTTACCATAAGCGTGTTTAAAGTTGGGTAGCTTATAATATAAAATGTATATTAGATAAAGATAAAATCTACTTTTTTTTAATGGAATTATTGGCTTTAACTAATTATAATCAAAATTCTAAATTAAATCAAAGCTTCTTGAACTAAACACAATTAAGAAAAGTTTTTATAAAAAAAAATAAAGGTTATGTATTAAATTATTTGTTTTAAAATGTATAAAATTAAAGCATAAAATTAGTTTATTTAATACATTTTCTTGTAAAAGTGTTTAATTGTAAAATAATGAATATAGTATTAAATTGTTTTAATTTTATAATATATTTAATTTTTAAAGATAGAAATAAAGTGTTAAATATTATTTATATAGTAATACTTAAATAAAACAATTTGATAGCTATGAATGGTTTTTAGATTGTATCCTTTAAGTAACAAATAATATTTCACCAGTTTGTTTATTTTCAGATGTTTAAATGAATATAGTATCCCTAAAAATGCCTATTACTTAATATTTTCTATATATTTTTCATATTTAAGAAAATTTAAGAAAGAATTTACAAAGTAAATTAGATCAAGATTATGAATTATTTTATAAAGATTTTTGTATACTTGAAACAGTTTATTTAAGATAATTTTTATCAGTATTAAGAAAGATTAATAGAAAAATATCCTTTATCTCAAGAATATCTTAATCATTCTTTAAATAATTATTATCAAATATAGATAAAGTATTTTCAAATTAAATGTTTTACAGCTGAAATTCAAAATACACAAAGAGTTATAGTAATAAATAGGTTAATTAAAGAAAAAACTAATACCACTTTGTTATATAATTTACATAAGTATATTCAAAATTTATTAGATAATAAAACTAAATAAGCTTATCATATAAATTATTTTTAAATTCTTTCAATAAATTAGAGACCGTCTATTATTGAGTTAATATTTTCTAAAAAATTAAGTTAATAGAAAAATATTTATTGCTAGATATATTATCCTATAATAAATTACAGGATTTTATAAATTTACTTAATAATATATAGTAAAATTCAAAATCTTCAGATTATATAAAAGTTTATAAATTTTTAATAAAAGTCATCTGATTTTTTTTATTTGATAGATAATTAATTATAGTTTTTAAATATTAAAATGAAAAAAAAATTTTTAAAAGATGAAAAAATTTTTTCATATTAAAGTATAATATAAGCAACAATTTTTTTTATATATTTTTGCATTTTTATATATAAAATTGTGTTGTCTATTAGTTTACTAATGAGTATTTTTCAGTATTTTATAATTAAATATTTTTGAATTATATTTTTAAAATTATAATTGATTAGTTATTAAATAAAAAAATTTAGAGTAAATTTTATTAAAAATTCATAAACTTTTATGTAATTAAAAATCTTTAATTTATTATATATTATTAAGTAAAATTTATAAAATTTGGTAATTTATTATAGGACAATATATTATCTATTTAAAAATAACAAATTCTTAGTTTTTTATTATATTAATTAAAGAAAATTTTTAAAGAAATAATAAAAAATATGCATATAAGTTATAAACTCAATTTTTTAATTATTTACAGTATCAGAAATATTAATAGAAAATATTAGTTAACAATTAAAAGAATTAAAAATAGAGTTTAAATTAAAATAAAACAAATACTAGCTATTAAAAATAATAAAAAATATGTAATTTATGAATATTTAATAAAAATTAAAATAAATAAAGAAAAAAAAATAACAAGTAAAAAAGTAGCAAAAATAATATATTTTATTTAAGATCTTTATAAAAAATTTTAAAAAATTAAAAAAGATTCTAAATATTAGTTAAAATAAAATAAATTTTTAAAAACGCTTGTTTATTTATCTTCTTCTACTCATATAAATAATATAAAAATTTTAACAATATTAAAGAGTTCTTTTGTTAAAAAAAACTTTTTCATATTTTGATAAAATAAGAAATTAAATGTTAGTAAAAAGCTTGCTAAGCGAAGTAAAAAATAATGTATACGTCTTTTCTGAATCTGAGTTTATAATAAAATTAAAATAAAAAATATGCAAGGTATTTTATACTAAAATTTTATATTAGAGAATAAAAGTATGTGAAATATGCATTGAAAATCTTGACATTTAGAATAGTATTAAGAATAATACATATATAAACTTTTTTTTCACTCATTTGACTACTTATTACTAAGACCTAATAATGTTATATAAATATATTCTACTTGGCATGTAATAAAAATAGCTTATATCTTTAGAGCAAATATTTATATCAGTAAATATTATTTCTACTAAAAATTATTCGGCTAAATGTTACAAAAAAAAAATTCAAATATTTTGGAGATTAATTTTTTAAGTGTGAAAATTAATTTATCACATAAACGAATCACACAGATTTACAGCTATTTTGATGGTAGTATCATTTATTATACAGAGGGTGATCACGGGTACCCGAACGATAAGTATTTTTTTGTTTATTCGTTTTGTTTACATGTTTACATATATTTCTAAATTAAGCATTTATTTAGAATATAAATGGATGTCGATCACAATAATAACAAAT